AAAAAAAAAAACAAAACAAATGGTCAACGTGAAGTGATGCTGGTGGCTACCGTCACAGCCTATTCCCCCCGCCTCGCAGGTGGCCTTTCAGACATGGTGAAGAAAGGAATGAGGTCTCCCGACCCCGGCCCTGTCTCAAATAGTAGGCAGCCTGCTGTTGACTGACATAGCTGCTGACCCCTCCTCTCAGCTCCTGCCCCAAACTCCACACTCACTGCCCATTGAGGCAATTCTGACTCCTAGCGACCCCCCTGAAGGTTTCCGAGACTAACTGTTCACAGGAGTAGAAAGCCCAGTGTCTCCCTAGGAGCTGCTGGTGGTTTCAAACTCCTGACCATGTGGATCACAGCCCAACACAACCACGACTTCATTGGAGCTCCTATATCTCAGTTCCTAGAAGATGGGAAAACACTGGAAATGTGATTGCTTTCAAGAAGGAATTGCTGACCAATTCACAACATTTTTATCTTTATTATTTTGGGTGTTACATTCACATGGCTTAACTGGGCTAGTCTTAATAGTTCTCATTTACGGGTCCTGAGGGAAAATACACAGGAGATAGGGGGGCATTATTTCTCTTTGATTGCTAAACTCTCCCGAGAAACTTACATGTAGTATGTTTTCTAGCTATTTTAATGTCCTTAGAGCAAATATCCAAAGAACACACTTTGGATCAATCCTTTCCCAGGCTCTACTGTGTCTAGCTTGGATTCCAACCAGACCCTGTCCCCTGTTGTCAGCTCCAGGATGGCAGTTTCCGAAATGTGCCGGAAACTGTTCTTGGCCTTGGCTTCCTTCTCCAGGACTTGGGCGTTATTCTTCATGAGCCTTAACTTCACAGGGTGCTGGAACAGTTCAATGTCAAAGCCAAAGACGTAGACACCAGAGTTTTGGCAGGAGAACAGCCCTGTAGTGATGTTGAAGAGGTTCTGATGGTTATGAATGATGTCCTTAAAGACAATGGGTTGAAGAGGTTCTGGGAGCGGATCACTCAGCTTCACTGCAAAGGCAGGCTTTGGGTGGACAGAGCACTTCTCAGCGTCTCCAGGAGGCCCTGCTGGCCCTGGTCTTCCTGGAATACCTGTGAATCCTAAACACCAAGTTAAGGAAAGGAATGAAGAGATGATATGGAATGGAAATATTGTAAAGCTCGTACAAACGTTTCACTTTACCCCTTTCTACCAACTTTCACTCGAGCTTCCATGATTATCTTAAAGCAGCACCATTCCCAGGAAGTCTTCCTTGCCTTGCCCAGTCTTAGTAAATGTCTCTCATCTGTATCATGGTGAGAGGAGAGCCCTGGCGACATAGTGGTTGTGATCGGCTGCTAACGGCAAGATTCAAAACCACCAGCTTCTCTAAGGGAGAAAGACGGGGCTTCCACTCCTGTAAAGAGTTAGTCTCAGAAACTCACAGGGGCAGTTCTACCCTGTCCTAGAGGGTCACTACTCAATGACAGTGGGTTTGGTTTTCCCTCTTTTTCTTTTTTGGTATCCTGGTAATAACAGAATCTACTATTAACTTCCGTGATAACATTTTCCACAATGAATAGTTATGTCGCCTGTAAGTAATTGTTTCTAGTTTTTTGCTTTTAACCAGAGTGCATACTGGTGTCTCACATGACTTCGTTTCTAAAGTACCACGGCAGTGTCCAGCCTGAAACTGGCTTTGCATCTAAAATACTCCTCAGATATTTTCTGAAGCAGTAACAGGGGGGATAATTGCCTGAATGGCTCATTTAATCTTATTCAATAAGTAGGGTCATTTATTTTGTTTTTATTATCATAAACATAGTGATTAAAGACTGCTCTTGGGAAGCACTCTTGCAGGGAAATCCAGGAATTATAGCCTATCCAAGACAAGAGCTTTGTAGCAATGTTTCTCTAACTGGACTGTGTATGGGATATAAAAAAGTGTGTCATACACGCACTTTGAGTACCAAGGTGCACCTTAAAAGCAAGGATGTTGAGGCTTGGCCTCACCTACTTCAGACATGTTATCAGCAGGGACCAGTCCCTGGAGAAGGACATCATGCTTGGTCAAGTAGCGGGGGCAGTGAAAAAGAGGAAGACCCTCCGTGAGATGGATGGACACAGTGGCTGCAACGATGGGCTCAAGATGCAGTCATTGTGAGGCTGGTGGGCGACTAGTTGTGTTCGACTGTCCACAGGGTCATGAGTTGACCCAACAGCCCCTAACAAACCACCACAAGTCGGCTTGGAAAGCAACAATGCAGAAGACGTCTGAATCAGAATTTCTGGAGGATGACTTCAGGAAGCAGAGGAACACATTCCACGGACCATTTGGATGCCTCAATAGTTTAGGACTCTCAGGGCGAGTCAACCTGGTGATTTGTTTTCTCCTGTGTCGAAAATAAAATGTCGATCAAGTCAATTCGCATGAAGAGGGTTTATTGTGTGGGAAACTCTTCACGAATAGGGAGTGACCCAAACCAGGGACGCTCCAGTCCACACAGTGCAATGCCCTTTTAAGGCCTGATGAGTGAATGGCTTGCTCTTTCCTTTCATAGGTTCATCACACCTATCTAAAGATCCTTTTGTTGGAGAAAGTTGGGTCTCTGAATGCTAAGCAGGTTTAGCTTGATTGACTAAGTCTTGCTCAAGTTCGCTGGTAAGTGCTGCTAACTCACGTTAATTTATACTGATACGAAGTAATTTGCTGAATTTTTCATTCTAGCTCTTGTACATGACGTTATGGTTAATGTCTCTAAGGCTCTTGGCCAGGGAAGTCATTTCCACTCTCACCTCTATTAAAAACAAAATTCGGAGACCAGAGCAAGTTCTCTGAGCCCAGGTGAGATCCCCGAATGCTTTGCTCTCAGTTGTCTTCAGGATGGTACTACTCTGCTCCTGCTTTGCAGGAGATGCCCTGCTGTCCATGGCTCACTGTCGACTCCCTGCAGGGACCACGCACATTCCAGCGTGGTCTTGGCTCACTGGGCAAGTGGATAGCAATGAAGTGACTGTTCGGACTGTGCCACTTGAAATGCTATCCAAATGACCACTCACATTTTAAATTAGGCACGTGAGCATCCAGGGGGAGCTTCTTTGGGCCCCATCCCTGACATTTTTAAAAATTATTTTTATAAATCATTTATTAGGGGTTCTTATAGCTCTTATAACAATCCATCCATCAATTGTATTAAGCACGTTTGTACATATGTTGTCATCATCATTTTCAAAGAATTTTCTTTCTACTTGAGCCCTTGGTCTCAGCTCCTCATTTTTCCCCTCCTTCCCTCACCCTCTCTCCCTTATGAAACCTTGATAAATTATTATTTTAATATCTTACACCTTCCACTGTCTCCCTTCACCCATGTTTCTGTTGTTCCTCCCCCTTGTGTGTGTGTGTGTGTGTAGGGTTATAGGTTGATCATTGTGATCAGTTCCCCCTTTCTTCCCCTATTCTCCCTCCACTTTCCCCCTACTCTCATGGTATCACTACTCCCATTATTGTTCCTGAGGGGTTTATCTGTCCTAGATTCCATGTGTTGAGAGCTCCTATCTGTACCAGTGTACACACTCCAGTCTAGCTGGCTTTGTAACGTAGAACTGGGGTCATGATAGTGGTGGTGGGGAAGCATTAAACAACTAGAGGAAAGTTGTGCATTTCATGGGTGCTATACTGCACCCTGGCTGGCTCGTCCCTTCCATGAGGGGGTGTCCCATTGTCTACAGATGGGCTTTGGTTCTCCCTCCTGCCTGACATTCTTTTAGGGTATAACCCCTGCAACTTTCTTAAGATCTTTGATACTTTGCTGTGGTTGGGAATGGAAATCCATGGTCAGTTTTCCCCCCAAATGTCTTGTGTCATAATTACTGACTCAGAAACACTTGGGTGTTTCTACTGAACTGACAGTATTCAAATAAAAGAGAAACAAAAGTGCTTCACACAAGTCAGAGAAAAACTTTTCCTCACCTTTTAAGCCCCTAGGCCCTGGTGCACCTGGGGCCCCCGTTTCTCCTGGTCTTCCTCTAGAATTACAGGCTCTGTTTTCTTCAGGCATGACAGTAGCCATGGCAGATACCACAGACAACACTAAAATCAAGACATCTAAAGCAAGAGATCAAAGGATAAAAAGGGCCATTAGCTACAAGATGGGGCTGATCCGTTTGAAGGACTATGTCCCCAGTACCGTCCGAGGGAAATAATTCTCCCAATCCCAAGAAATAAGCAGGAAGTTGGTTGTATCAGCAAGGAGGTACAGCAAGCTCTGGAGAAAGTAGCTGTTAGTTACACTGCACTAGTTCCCCACTATCAGTCGCCCTTCACTAACAGTGAAGGGAGTCAGAGAACCTTCAGGAGAACATGTGGAAACTGACTGAAAGGGAGTCAACGTGGAGGAAGCGACAGGAGAAAACATAGCAGCGTTTCAGGGGGGCTGGAGATAAATGAGAAGTGAGTGGCCAGTGCAGAGACAGACACATAGACAGGCTCAGAGGTTCTCTGCAGGTATTGGTATGTCGGTGCGATTATAGCAATCAGATAGTCATGTCAGATTATGTATATCAGAGTAATAACATACACATTCCATAGTCAAATACATGCAGTTCTGCAATATCTGACGTTCTGCTCTATGTATGTCATGATATTGACAATAGAGACTTTTGCTCACATTTGAAGCCCGTATCCATGTATTCGTCTCCCGTATTTGACTAGAAAGGCTAAAACATAATCTATCATTTTTGTCTAGTATTGTGGGGAAATTGCCTCTCAGTATTAAGGCAATGATAAAATGAGTTGTAACAGCAAGCGGCAACCCTTTGGAAAGTTCTCTGTCACGAGGATATTTGTACATGGATATTTATCTTTGCTACAAATAAATCTATGAATGGGGTGGGGGCAGACGGGGGTAAAGTTATGAAAAGTTCTCAGTTATAACCAACCCCCTTGAGGGATTGAGCCACTAAGCCTGAGGGACCAGGAACATTTTTCCTCGGGGGACACCACCATCAATTGCCATCACCTGGTCTACAATGACTATGTTCTACATCCTACTTTGATGAGTATTGCCTGGGATCTTTAAAGCTTTCGTGTAGCCAGCTAAGCTACATCTATTGGTCCCTTCCCTTCTGGAAAAAAGAAATTGAAAGTTGAAAACAGAAGATGGATATTAGCAGTTAGGAGCCCTCATGGTGTAGTGGTCCTGTGTTGGGCTGCTGACTGCAAGGTCAACAGTTTGAAACTACCAGTCGCTCCTTGGGAGAAAGACAAGCTTCCTACTCCCTTAAAGAGTTACAGTCTCGAAATCCACAGCGGCAGTTCTACCCTGTCCTATAGGGTCGCTATGAGTCGGTGTCGATGGCAGTGAGATTGTTATGTTAACATTTAGTCCAGTAGACTAACGAACCATGCAAACATTTGTCTCCACAATCCTGAGATCAGAACCAGATGGTGCCCTGCCACCACTAACTGCTCTGGAAGGGTCACATTAGAAGGTTCTCAGTAGAGGGGTGGGCAGGGGGTGGGGGGCGGGTAATGAAAGGAAACTTGAAAAAAAGATCAGACTCACCGGTCAGATAGAGATTGGTGAACACCCCGGAGACTCAGGATACCCCTTCATTACTCTTCAAGTCTGGAAATAAACTCCCCCTCATAACTCAATTTCCAGCCCCCAAATGGACAAGTTGATAAGGGGACTGCAGTTCTACCCAGCCCTGTGGCATCAGTGTGCGTGAGATGAGCAAACAACTACCTTAGTGAGGTGTGACAACTTAGAATAACCCACCAGCGGAGACTACAGGTGCACTATTCGCTCCGGGACAATGTGGAGCAGAGTGAGGAAGGACGGAGGAACGGAAACGGGAGGAAACAGGAGAAGGGACA